CACAGTATCCCCTTGTTCTGTTTGAATGACTGCTTCTTGGTCTATGTACATGTCATGGATTGAATTATTTCCCCCCAAAAATGTGTATATCAATTTGGCTAGGCCATGGTTCCCAGTATTGTGTGGTTGGCCTCCATTTTGTGATTGTAATTTTACGCTAAAGAGGATTAGGGTGGGATTGTAACACCACCCTTACCCAGGTCACATCCCTGATCCAATGTAAAGGGAGTTTCCCTGGGGTGTGGCCTGCACCACCTTTTATCTCTCAAGAGATAAAAGGAAAGGGAAGCAAGCAGAGAGTTGGGGGCCTCATACCACCAAGAAAGCAGTGCTGGGAGCAGAGCGCGTCCTTTGCATCTGAGGTTCCTGCACTGAGATGCTCCCAGACCAAGGAAAGAGTGATGCATAACAAGGACCTTCTTCCAGAGCTGACAGAGAGAGAAAGCCTCCCCCTGGAGCTGACGCCCTGAATTTGGACTTGAAGCCTACTAGACTGTGAGAGAATAAATTTCTCTTTGTTAAAGCCGTCCGCTTGTGGTATTTCTGTTATAGCAGCACTAGATAACTTAGTACAGTTTCCATATGAGCACAATTAAGTGTTCTGGAACTCCCATTCTTCGCAGTGTTATCTGTAATTTATTATGATCCACACAGTCGAATGCCTTTGCGTAGTCAATAAAACAGATAAACATCTTTCTGGTATTCTCTGCTGTCAGTCAAGATCCATCTGATATCAGCAATGATATCCCTAGTTCCATGTCCTCTTCTGAGTCTAGCTTGAATTTCTGGCAGTTCTCTGTTGATGTATTGCTGCAACTGTTTTTGAATTATCTTTCGCAAAATTTTACTTGTGTGTGATATTAATGATATTATTCCATAATTTCTGCATTCTTTTGGATCATCTTTCTTTGGAATGGACACAAAAATGAATCTCTTCCAGTCAGTTGTCCAGGTAGCTGTCTTCCAAAATTCGGGGCATAGATTAATGAGGACCTCCAGCGCTGCATCCATTCATTGAAACATCTCAATTAGTATTCCATCAGTTTCTGGAGGCTTGTTTTTGCCAATGCCTTCAGTGCAGCTTGGTCTTCTTTCTTCAACACTGTTGGTTCTTGATCATATACTATCTCCTAAAATGGTTGAACATCGACAATTCTTTTTGGTACAGTGGCTGTGTGTATTCCTTCCATCTTCTTTTGATGCTTCCTGTGTCACTGAATGACAAAATACTGAATATTTTGTCCATTGAATTGTTCAGTATTGCAACGCGAGGTTTGAGTTTTTTCTTCAGTTCTTTCAGTTTGAGAAATGCTGAGCATGTTCTTCATTTTTGATTTTCTAACTCTCGATCTTTGTGCATTTCAATATAATACTTTGTCTTCTTGAGCTAGCCTTTGAAATCTTCTGTTCAGCTCTTTTACTTTATCATTTCTTCCATTCACTTTAGCTATTCTGTGTTCAAGTTTCAGAGTCTCTTCTGACATCCATTTTGGTCTTTCCATTCTTTCTAATGACCTTTTGCTTTCCTGATGCATGATGTCCTTGATATCATCCCACAACCCATCTAGTCTTCAGTCTTTGGTGTTCAGTGCCTAAGATCTATTCTTGAAATGGTCTCTAAATACAGGTAGGATATACTCAAGGTTGGACTTTGGTTCTCGTAGACTTGTTTTAATTTCCTTCAGCTTCAACTTGAACTTGCATAAGAGTAATTAATAGTCTGTTCCACAGTCGACCCCTGGCCTTGTTATAACTGATAATATTGAGTTTCTCCATCCTCTCTTTCAACAGATGTAGTGAATTTGATTCCTGTGTATTCCATCCAATGAGGTACATGTGTATAGTCTCTGTTTATGTTGAAAAAATAAGTCATTGGTCTTGCAAAATTCTATCATACGCTCTTCAGTGTTGCTTCTGTCACCAAGGCCATATTTTCCAGCTGGATCCTTTTTCTTTCCAACATTCACATTCCATTCACCAATAATTATCAGTGCTTCTATATTGTGTGTTTGATCATTTCGGACTGCAGAAGTTGCTAAAAATATTCAGTTTCTTCATTTTGTCTTTTATTAGTGGTTGGTGCGTAAATTTGAAAAATAGTCATATTAACTGGTCTTCCTTGTAGTTCTATGGATATTTTCCTATCATTGACAGCGTTGTATTTCAGGATAGATCTTGAAATGTTCTTTTTGACAATGATTGCAACACCATTCCTCTTCAATGTGTCATTCTTGGCATAGTAGACCAGATGATTGTCCAATTCAAAATGGCCAATGCCAGTCCATCTCTGCTCACTAAGGCCTAGCATATTGATTTTTATATGTTCCATTTCTTTTTTGAAGACTTCCAGTTTTCCTAGATTCATACTTCATATATTCTACATTCCAATTATTAATAGATGCTTGCAGCTGTTTCTTCTCATTTTGAGCTGTGCCACATTAGCAAATGAAGGTCCTGAAAGCTTGACTCCATCTGCATCATTCAGATTCACTTCACTTTGAGGAGGTAGCTCTTCTCCAGTTGTATTTTGAGTGTCTTCCAACCTGAGGGGATCATCTTCTGGCACTATATCAAAGTTCCACTGCTATACATAAGGATTTCACTGGCCAATACTTTTTTAGGATTAGATTGCCTTCTTACTAGTCAGTCTTAGTCTGGAAACTTCACTAAAACCTGTCCACCAAGGGTAACCCTGCTGGTATTTGAAATACTGGTGGCGTAGCTTCCATCGTAATGGCAACACACAAGCCATCGCAGTATGACAAACTGTCAGACGAGTGGTGGAGATTCCCATTAGGTTGTATCTGACCTTTGCAATTGGAAAATTTAAAAGTGAAACAAATTTCCCATATGTCACTGAATCTGAATATAAGCAGCTAATTCCTAAAAGATATACAAAAGAATCATAAATAAAATGTATTCCACGTTATGTATAACATTTTTATGATTAAAGAGCTACAAGGAGCCCAGAGGTTAAAGTGATCAACTGTTCACCGAAAGGTTGGTGGTTCAAAACCACCAGCGGCTCGGCAGGAGAAAGATGTGGCAGTCTCCTTCTGTAGAGATACAGCCTTGGAAACCCTGTAGAATTGACTCAATAGCAGTGAGTTTTCAGTATGTGTTTTTGGAAAGGGATACAAATTAAAATAAAATGTCACTTTATCTAATAGTAAGGAGCCCTGTTGCCACAGTGGCTAAGTACTCGGCTGCTAATCAGAAGGCTGGTGGTTCGATCCCACCAGCCATGTGGAGAAGAAAGATGTGACAGTCTGCTTCTGTAAAGATTTACAGCCTTGGAAACTCTATGGTGTAGTTCTACTCTGTCCTATAGGATCACTATGAGTTGGAATTGAGTTGACAGAAACGAGTTTGGTTTTGGTTATCTATCAGTTTGGCAGAGGTTAAAAAATACAATATCAGTATTGGTGAGCATGTGATAAATGAACATTCTCACATACTTTGAGAGTTTAAATTGACAAAACTTGTGGAAAGTAATTTGAAATAATAGAGCAACACTATATGAATGCTCCTAGATATTGACATCTAAGAATTTGTCTTTGGAAATACTCATTGACTTTAGTGTAAGGTTTAACTACCAGCATTCTTTGTAGTATTGAAACACTGGAGACAGTAATGAAAGGTTAAATAAATTATGGTCTTTCTGTATAGAGCAATATTGCACAGCAATTATAAAAAAGGCTTTCAAATATTCTAGCATGTTGTTGTTGTATGCCTTCAAGTCATTTCCAACTCAAAGCAATCCTATAGGACAGGGAAGAACTGACCCATAGGGTTTCCAGAGCTGTAATATTTACAGAAGCTGACTGCAACATCTTTCACCCATGGACCTTTTGGTTAGTGGCCGAGAGCTTAACCACTGTGCCTCCAGGGCTCCCTATCTTCTATCATTGGAAATATTAATAGTTCAATGTTGAGTGAAAATAGCAGTCTGCAAAAAATTTTAACACAGGATGATCATAAATTTAAAAAAAGTAGAAGGAAATGTAATTGTTAACAGCAGTTATAAATTGTGTTGCTGGGAAATGGATGATTATTATTTACTTTTCAAAACTCTGCATTTTCCAAATATTCTGCAAATAGTTTTTATTAATGTTATAATCAGCAAAGAGTTTTAAATAAAATGACATAAATACAGTTTAAATTTACAAGTAGAATGTTGCTTCTTTGGAGGAATATATTTTAACTTCTTGACTATCACCTGTTTTACCAAATGTCTTTAAATGCATAGCATATTATTTGTTTGTGTAGTTCATTTACTCCAGGTATAGTCTGGCTATTTGTATTTATGGTAGAAGTCATCTTTAATCAGCTGTATTTATATGCTAGAGTTAGAGAAAATTAATATGATTTGTTCATTGCAGATTCACTTTTTTTTTTTCATTGTTTAAATTTGTTTCATTTTATTTCCAACTTTTTCTGGGGTACCTTAAATTGTAACTTCCAAGAACCTACTTCTACTATGAGTAGGCAAACTGATTTTAACTCTATTAGCTTCATTTGTGTAGTTCTTCATCAGCATGCAAACAAGGCCCCATTATGTGGGAAACTTATATAAAAACCTTTAAATAAAAAAAAAAAGAAAAAAGCTTTTCTGTTTATAACCCCCATTCTTAGGTTTCCTTTATTGTGAGCTATAGAGTTTATCCTCTTTCTTAACCCTACGCATCATTTGTATGGTTCTTGTTTTGGTACAATTCCCCATAATATTCCAGAATGTACTGTTTTGTGAGTAGACTGAGTATTTTTTTTTGCTTCTTCACATCAGTGCGGAGTTGTAATTGGAGACAGATTTCCACCCACAAAGGCTCCAGGTGTTAAAACATTTCCCAACATTGACTTAATACAGTGACGGCAACACCTCCCTCCTGCCCCTCCCAGTAGGGTTGGGATTGTACTGTGTTCCCTACTGGTTTACCTTTCCCCCCTGTAAAGGGTAACATTTTCCCTGGGTGCAGAGGCTCCCTCATAGCCTCCAAGACTGAAGGACCCCTAATTATGGGACTGCAGCTTAAGTGTGTAAGATTAAACACCATAAAAAGCTGCAAGATGCTCTTTTAAGGGAAGAGGAAACTGGTCAGAGAAACGCCTCCAATTTTCATCCCCAACTTGATTTTTAAATCCATGAAGGATCTTACAGAACATGTCTCTGAAATCATCTTTTGGGCTAATCCATGATGCAACAGCATCACAAAAAAATATAAAATCTTGGATTACTCCACTGGGATTCACATTGATCATGGTACAAATCCCACAGAATGCTGAATCCTTTTCCTCATTGTCCCTTATGTTTCTCGGAGAGGTGCACCAGTGTCTTATAAACTGCTGTAGCATGGGGACCACCTCTTGAGGACAAACGTAACCAAGACGACCAATTGTTGTTACTGTATTCTCTAACAACGTTTTTGGTGTGTTGGGTCTGTTAATGATTTCTACAAGCTGGTACAACACCATAGGGATATAAGGCTGCATCTGTATTCCCATTTGAAGGGCGATTTCTCCAATTGCCCATGTGGCATTGTTGCAAACAGAAATGAACTCTGGATTTAGGTTGGTTCCCAATATTGGCATGAAATCAGCTATACAAGGCTTAACATGCTGAAAGTGAGCTTTTATCAAGTCACCTAACAGGGCAAAGGAACTCTGTCGAACTTCTGGCATTTTATCCTGCATGCATTGATACATTAGTGTTAGAATGTTACTCCGCGCTACTAGCTGTTCAATGCTGCCTCCAAGTCCTTCAGCCAGGCCACTGAGTAAATCAGAGCCACTATCATAAAATCTTTATCTGGAGCCTCGTATTGATCTGGCTGAGCATTGTTCAGCATGGCTTGTGCAAGAGTCTTCTGCACTAGGTTAACACAACGTTGAAACACAGGTTGACAGTACGGAAGGAAGCCAGACTGCAGGGCTGTGGCAACTGAAGATAGGCACTCAAGTAATGGAGAGAGATCTTTATCTTCGTCCTTTAACATGTTCTATTTCTGGATCAGTGGAGGCATTAGCATCTGAATATATTCTGGTTTGTTTAAATGATGTCCTACTGAATCTGCTAATGTTCCTATGGCATCATAAAGAATGAGCAGGTTCTTATGCTGGTATTTACTAAATGCGAAGACCAGGCTATCAAGTATATAAGCAAGGTAAGGAACAAGTTCTGTACAAGCCTCCTCTTCTAAAGTAGCAAAGGCAGTGCAGGCAGCTTTCTGTACTCTCTTGTTGCTATCCAGGATACGCTTTAGCAATTCTGTCATTAATGGCTTCAGGTACATGTCAGGGGGTTGGCTGACTACCCAGTGTGCATAGCGGCTGAGAGTCCAGCACGTTACGGAACGCACTAGAGCCTTTTTATCAGAGAGGCACTGAATAAGGTGAGGAATGAGTTCAGCCAGGTATGGAATCATGCCCTGCATGCAACCTTCAGCAATTGCTCCTAAAACCAAGATGCCTGATTCTTTAACAACCCATTCATGATGAAAAAGTAATTCTTTCAAAAGGGGCAAAATATGTGGCAAAAGTTTATCACGATACACATTTGCAAGTACATCTAGGGCAGCAGCAGAACCTTTTCCTAGATTCCAGTCAGAAATGGTATAGTCATCATCAATTTCATCCTCCTCCTCCTCTTCAATTCCATCTTCATCATGCTGCTGAGCCACTGTCCTCGATTGATGAAAACGTGGCCTTATATCCTGTTCACTATCAGGAATCATCTTCTTCAGCATCCCCCTTCAGCAGGATAATATCAATATGTGAGTACTTCATGCCATTCACTAACACGGGAATCAACTTAGGAAGATGCCTTACAAGTACATCCTTGCATATTAGTTTCTCAGCCAAAGTGAGCCAAAATTCACAAGCTTCTAAAGCGACATTTTCATCTTGATCTTGCATCCTCTGAAGCATGTACTCAACTATATTATGCATGTGAAGAAGCAGGCGATCCATTCGAACTTCAAGCAACATCACAAGAGCCCAGCATACATTTTTCCTTACCTCTGGTTCTTCATCCCCAGCCAATGCAAACAGATTCTCAATGAAAGAATCGATGTGCAACATCAGAGCTTGAGTCCTACTGATAATAAACTGATTGACACATGCAACAGCATGAGATCTTATTTTTGGACTTCTGTGCTTGAAGAACTGTCAACATTTGGGAATCATGATATTGAGAGGACGATCTAAAACATCACTATCTAAAATCTCGGCAGAATCTTCCCATATCTTCTGAAGAGCGCCAAAAGCTCCCTCACAGGTGTTGCGATCTTTAGAATCCAACAGGCTGCAGAGTTTTGGTAAGAGGTCAGGCCAATTCTGCAATTCTCCCTTGGAGGCTATGGTTGTAATCAAAATACCTACAGTGGCTCTAATCAGAGGAGAGGCATCACCAATATTATTCAAACATTCACTTTTAATAAAGTCTGTTACACCATTTGGGAAGTTCTGAAAATGAGCTTTCACGTTATTCTTCAAGATGAGACCACTCAATGATCTTGTGGGTTCATCTTCAGATTTTAATTTTGTAAGAACAAAAATCAGATAGTTGTTAAAATCCGGATATTGACTGAGCAGTTCGAGTTTTTGTTGCACGGTTCTCTGGATGGTGGTGTCTGGGGACTGGGACTCCTTCAGCAGCTGCAGGATTTGCTGACGCCCTTGCTCATCAGGTTTCCACTCATACTCCATCTTGGTTTGCTGGGGTGCCCCGAAGGAAGCCTCAGATGATGAAACCCAGCGGAACTGCTCCCAGCAGCTTGGCCACCCACGTCTGCTGCTCCTGCTGCCATGGCCGCCGACTCACTGTTTTTTTTTTGTTTTAGATAAATGGTATCTCTCAAACAGACTAAAATTTCAAGTAAATGAATAAAGTAAGTAACCTACAAGAGTCCAGGTAGAGTGATGTAGGTAGAAAGAAAATTCTTCTTTTATCTTTCTTTATCCCTGAGTCATGTTAATAGAGGCATTTCTGATCACTTTTGACCACATCTTCATTGAGAAATGGAGTCCCTGGGTGGTGTAAACAATTAAGCACTTGTGTACTAATTAAAAGATTGTTGGTTTGAATCTACCCAGTGGTGCTTTGAAAGAAAGGCCTGGTGATCTACTTCTGAAAGGTCATAACCATTGAAAACTCTATGGAGCACCGTTTTACTCTACAGCATGTGGGGTCACCATGAATCAGAATCTGTTGGACGGCAGCTGTGTCTTTTGCTTAAATTGACAAAGCAGTAATTTTGCCTCATACACATTTAAATTTACTTTTATTTTTCCTTTATTCTTTTTTTTTTTTTTTTTTACATATTATATGTGATGAACAGTTTGAGGGTAGGGGCTTCATAATTTCCTTCTCCTTTCTATCTTTCCAAACTACCGAATACATTGTGTATGTGAGAATTCAGTAGATGATGGAGAATAAATTACTGAACTCATGTTTGTATTCATACAGAAGGCAGTAAATCTAGAAGTTAAGAGAGCAGATTCAAGAGGTAGATTGTTCATGTTTGAATCCCAGCATTGCTATGTGACCTAGGGAAAAGTTACTTCACTTCTCTTGCCTCAGTTGTCTCAAGTATAATAAAATGGGAAAATAATACCACTCATCTTTAGAGTTGTGAGGATTACATGAGTTAATACCTACAAAACACTAAGCATCGGGCCTGGCACTTGGAGTGTTTAGTTATTATTATTTTGAGATAATTTCTTTGCTAAGTGGCTATAATGATTATAATGCATAACTATAGCTTTGAGGAATAAATAAACGTATTCAAAGCTGGGAATAGTTTGTTGGCACTCTACTGTTCATTACGGAGGGATGCAGAAGATAACATATGTAGAGGTAATCATCAAGAGATTTCTGGATATAGAGAAATATGTGATAAGCAGAATTTTTATTAATGAATTCATAATTAGGGAGATAAAATTTATAAATACTGTGGGATATCATTAAAGGGCTTTTAGAAGAGTAAATTCTTATGGGATTCACAAAGCAGTATGGTAATAAATATTCGTGAATTGGAATAAAAGCAGCTCTTTCAATCTCGTCAGAAGACATTATGCAGCAGTTTTCCTTAATTGAACTTCTTCATCTTCCAATATAGGTAATTAAATAAAACAGAATGATTTTGGAGTAAAGTAACCTTTTAAGTAATTTACAAATGTAAAGCATTATGATGAGTACTATTAATAATAATGATCATCAAACATAAAAAATAAAATAAAATTTAATTACTTTGAGCCCTCTTTTACAATATGGAAATTATAAAAATATTAAAATATTAAGATTATTGAGCAAAGTGAATATTACATATTATCCTTTTGTTTATTTTTATATAGTTTTTTAGGTAATCAGTATTCTGGAGTGGAGTATATTTGGGCATAACGAACCCAAATATTTTGGAGTCTGTCCATCCCTTTGTCTTCTGAAGGGCTTTTAGTTAATAGAGTAGATGATCGCTGTATGTCTTATTTCAACAAAGATTGCTGGAAAGGAGGTATACTGTGGAGACCTTTAATATACAGGCAACTTGGCTGCTTTTAGTTACCTCATTCATTCATTCATTCCACAGAAATTTACTGGGCATGAACTAGAATACAACTACTCTCTTCCACTCCTCCCCATATGAGAAATAAATGTAACTGAAAAGAAAAAAGTAATAAGGATCACCTTTCATGATCAAGGTATTGAAGTGGTTCTTTTAGCATTTAATGAAGAAAGTAAAGGGGACATAAAATTAAGAAGTTAAAATACGCTTAGACTAGAATATCATTCTGTAAATATGATTAAGTGCTAGACCCAGAAATCAGTGGATAGAAATTTTAGAATTTTTGCCCTTTCAGATCTTTAAAAAGATGATTTTCCTCTTAGGAGGTGGCAAGGGGAGGAGTGTCTACCTGATTTCTAACTTTCAACCTTCTTTAGATTCTCCTGGCATGTTAACAACGTGGCCAAATTCCAGCATATACAGAGCTCAATACACTCTTCAATACTGTGGAAGGACCTGCATATTCACTTTCTCCCTAATCATTTGACCAGTCAAATGGTGGTATCCAAGCACTGTGACTACAACTATTTTTCTCTACGTGCTGTGACTCTTTGTTAGCTAAAGTATACATCATACAAGTGATATGATGGGAAGGGAAAAAATATTAAAAATTGTGGGGTTCCTTTGACAAACTTAAAGATTACTCGTGTTCAGGAACTCTAAGCAGGGTATCACATTTAGTCTTTTGAGTAGAAGAAAGGGAAGACTGGGTTCTGAAGAATGTTCACTTCAAATTTTGTGCCATGTTTCCATGGCCTGTAGCATGAGCATCATGATACGAGGCCACACTGAAACATTTGGTGGTATATTTTATGTTGCTGGGCATCCAAAATGCCCCTAGATTTCTCGCGTAAAGACTGAATTTTATATACTCACTATCTGGATTTGCCTGGGAAACGAACCCCTGTAATCCAGCTAATTTTAGCATAAACTCAACAGGGTCATCCTCTGTCTAAATCTCTGCCTCATTTCTGGATACTGGTCTCCATCCTATTATCCTTCCCTTGAATGTTTCACTTCCATATTCTTTCTGCACTCTCTCTGTATTTAAAACCACCACAGTATTAGCATATGTACTTCTCTTCTTGAGACAGAAGCAGATATTCTTTTAGCTGCCCACCTTCTGCCCTCTGTTCCAAGGTCACTTCTGTTTAGGACTCACCTTTTTATAATGACTTGCATCACTGCTTGTGTCCTTTAAGAAATTTCCTTGTGTCCTTTCTCCAGATAGTCTACATTCCTGCCTGCCATTTCCATTTATATGGCAGTAGAAACAATTCCATTTTAGTCCCTGCTACAAGTAAATGATAGTAGAAAAAGTGTTCATGATGTATCCAGGATTATCAGTTTCAAAAGTCCAAAACTCAGGGCTAAGGTTACACACCCTGAAATACTTTCTGCTGACATTCTATATCCTAATCATGCCCCTTTAACCATACTGCAATGTTTCTTCCCCCATACTACTGAGTAATTTCTCTGTAGGTATAACTGCTACCAGAGATCCAAATGTAGTTTTGCTTTGAAGATAGACCATTGTCAAATGACCATTGATTTATCTTACTCATGCTTTGATAATATGTCTGGTGTTTAACAGTATGAAGTAGCCTCAACCTTTAATGGACACTTGTGGTTGAACCACCGTAAAGCAATGTGCTTGAGCCTTGGGTTTTCTTAGTCTCTGGACTATAATTCAAGCAATTTCCTGTACACATAACCAAAAGATTCTTCAACATTTTATGAATATGACAGGTTTCTTCTGGAATAGCATAGGTTATTAGAATCCTAGCTTCTAGGTAAAATCCGGAAACTGGATTCTGATTCTGTATCCAAATACATAGTTTCTGTTTCTGTATCCCTAGGAATGGGCTTGTTCTCCTCAACTCTTAGGAGTTCCTTATAGCAAGGGGCCTGAGAGTAAAAAGAAAGGGGACTATATCATGATTTTATAATGTGTGTGTGGTAGTTATTTACCTTGTTTGTTTCTTAAAGCTATATGTTATATAAATGAATTAGACAAAATGATACTGAGGTAAAATAACTTACCTAAGGTCAGAAAACAAAGGTGCAACTGCACTGAGATTTGACTTGGTGCTGTGTGTCTTCAAAGCAAGACCTTTCCATCACTTCATGTGACACAGGAGTTGAGATTTGTATGACATTAAAAATCTCTTCATCTTTATATCATAAAGTTTGAAAGTTAATTTGATTGTATTAATTTATTTGTACTTCTTTTTCCTCACTTCTTAATAAAAGTATTGAATATGATGATGCCTAAAATTCCTTGGTGCTCTTACATTCTGAGTTAGGAGAGATACTTGTGATTTGAAAATATCTATGTGTAAGAAATTATGATGAATAGTGTAAGAAATGGTCCATTTGCCAAAAGGAGCAAATGATAAATATCAAATGTTTGATTCAAGAAATAAGTGCTGTTTTTGTTCAGCCCTCTCAGTTGAAGAAAGAGCAGGTGTCCTTGAGAAAGTGGCTTTGAACTAGAAGTTCTTTCTACCTTTTGCACTCTATCCCATGGCTGTCTTTTTTTAGGACTCACTTTCTTATACTGGCTTGTACTACTGATAATTAAGCAGTGCCCTTTTGTCCTTTTACCAGACAACCCACATCCTGGCCCGCCATTTCCCTTTATGTGGTAGTAGCAGCAGTTCTATTTTAGTCCCTGCTACAAGTGAAGAGGCAGCAGAAGCAAGGGTCTGGAAGTGGAGGTGACAATCACAGGCTTTGGTATCTAGAGGGGATTGAAGTGTTGAGGGGTGCTGGAAAATGAAGGTTAAGTGTCATGAGGGATGAATCATAAGTAGTAGGAAGGGAGAAGGATCATATTCTAAATCTAAGAAATGTAGGGGCTAATATTTTGGGAATGTCTGGTGGAAGTAAAGGACAGATTGAAGGGGTTTTTGAGAGTTACAGTATATGTAAATAGGCTGCCTCTGGGCTACTAAAAAAATACACTTCTCCATTTTTATTGTAGGAGAGATTTAGGTTAAGCACTATCTATTGGTTGCTTTTTAGAGTCCCAAGCAGTAATGGTCCAAAAGTGGTATTTTAACTGCAGTTGTCACATTTTATTGTAATATATTAAAAAGCTTTACAAAATCATTTTTATTAAATGTCTCACATTTATTTTCTAGGTCATTTTCTATA